TATCAGATAACCCCCATCAGCTTCCTCATTATAACACTTTATTAATTCTCTTCTAAACTTTATCACAGATTTATTTGCAACCATAGTCTGATTCAACTGAACTTGCTAAGTGGAAGGAAGTGAGTCAACTACTGAATGTATGTTGGAACTTAGGAAGGATACTCTGTCAGCAAGAAAGAATAATGTCTGGAATAAGGCAGTTTATAATTTTCTTCATTCTATTGTATTTTTTTCAAGACTGAATATAGCCCAGGTTATTTATATCCATATGACATTTTGCAGAATGAGAACTTCAATAAAGGCTCCAAATGCTCCTTTAAGGTCAGAGCAACATCATATTAACAAATAAGAAAATAAAACAAATATTTACTTTACCTTTTTAGGATCTGACACATTGTTAATATAAATAGTGTAGACCCCACTTTTGTTAAAACCAGATTGGTATACATCTGCACAGTCTCTGAAAGGCTTTTCTTCCTCCTTTTTTGCATTCTTTAGTAAAACTGCAAACCAAAAAAACACGATAAGTTACAACAGCAATCTTAAGCATTCTGTATCAAGGAAGTCCACTTTTGCACATTGTATTCCTTTTAAACATGCACAGTAACAACTGTGCTATGGTCCTTACACAGTTAGTGCATTTGGTAAATTCTATTAAAGAACTAGTATGAAACTTTCAGACAGATAGCAGAGTAGGCACCAGCAGAAGTAAATCATGATGCAAATAGCTAAACAGAGCATCCTGTCTACTGAGAGGTGAACACAGCACATTCCTTCTGAGCGCAAAGGTCTGTGCAGCTGCAGGTGTTGCCCCTGACTCAAGCTGTATCTGGGAGGTTGCCAAAGAATGCCCCAGAGATGGCACATGGAGGTGGACAAGCTTGTTCAGTGTTGTGATCTGAGACAGATGCTCACCTGAGACAGCAATGCAGAAACCCTGAAGGAAAGAGCTTGTGCCCTTCCTCCATGAGGTAGTGCCTTTTGAGCAGCCTAGGGACTTGGGGCAAGGGAGCTCTTTGTCTAAGTTTCTTTTTTGGCAGATAATTGTTTCATTATTTTCATATCTACATACATAAAAGTTGCTAGATACAATTATTGGAGAAAAGAAGAAAAATCAGTGCTACTGAAGTTAGTTGTTTGAAGTCATGATTTATTGAATTTATTTTTGGCTCAGAACAGGAAAACAATTAATGTCAGAACACCAGTGCAGATCTTGATCCTGTATATTGCAGACAGACCACATATGTGAGTCTGAGCTGAGAAATCAGGAGGGCAAGATGTTTGATGATCCCAATCTTGAACAACCAGGAGATTCCCTGTAGAAGGAGTAACATCTGAGAACGTTCCTTCACTTTCACAAAAAAAAGTAGTGTGACCCCACACGATACTGAAGGATATGATTTCATTCCAACAACACATACTTTAGGCACATCAGTATTCCCATGGAAATCCATCAGTCTACTCAGATTCTTAAAGTTAAACATGTCCTTAAGTGCTGTGCAGGGTCTGGGCCAGCACTTCATTAATCCCTACAATAAGGAAACAATATTTAAGTCCTCCAGACACACTCATTGTCTGGTGACAGACACATCTTTTTCATTTTTGGCTTGATAATGTGAGTTATAGGTGCAAAAGGGACTACGCCTTATTCACTCTCAATGAAGTGGCCTGTGCTGCAAAGCTGGTGTTTAATGACAATGGTGTGTAAAAAAGCAACGGCCTTGCACAGTATGTGAGACTATCCAGGCCATAAGATAGTATGGAATAATGCCAAGGATTTGTAGCTTCATGTACTATCTCCCCTTTGAACACTTTAAAGTGGTATTTTAGGATGGCAAATTCTGGCCTGATCAATTGGCTTTAATACCATTTCACAGATGGGGAAATTGAGAAAGGTTAAATGTTTTACCTCAGTGATTTTGTGAAAAGTTGAAAATAGAAAAATAGTGAGAAATCCAATGCTGAACTGTAAGACTATCCTGCTCTCTAGATAAGCATTTGTCCTGGTTTTGGCTGGGACAGAGTTAATTTTCTTCCAAGTAGCTGGTACAGTGCTGTGGTTTGGATTTAGGATAAGAACAATGTTGATAACACACCGATGTTTTAGTTGTTGCTAAGCAGTGCTTACACTAGTCAAGGACTTCTCAACTTCCGTGCTCTACCGACTGAGAAGGCTGGAGGTGCACAAGAAGCTGGGAGGGGGCACAGCCAGGACAGCTGACCCCAACTGGCTAAAGGGACCTTCCATACCATGTGATGTCATGCTAAGTATATAAACTGGGGAAAGCTGGCAAGGGGGGGCCACTGCTCGGGGACTGGCTGGGCATCGGTTGGTGGGTGGTGAGCAATTGCACTGTGCATTACTTGCTTTGTATATTCTTCTTCTTATTATTACTATTATTATTATTACTAGGAGTTTATTTTATTTCAATTATTAAACTGTCTTTATCTCAACCCGCAAGTTTTCTCACTTTTACCCTTCTGATTCTCTCCCCCATCCCACCGGGGGTCGGGGGGGAGTGAGCAAGCAGCTGTGTGGTGCTCAGTTGCCAACTGAGGTTAAACCACGACAGCATTTTACACACGTCATATTCTTTTTTCCCTTTTATGTGTTTTATTTTATTCTTTTAAAATTTGATTTTAACAAACAAAACCGCCTTCTCCCTTTCCATGTATTTGCTCCATACTTATTATTTTTATCCAACACCATCAATAAAAATAAAAATAAAACCTGACTCATATACTTGTGTATGATCTTCAATTGGAAAATCAATGGCTTTGAAACTTGGCCATATTTGGAAAAGGTAGTGCTGGCAATGCAGTAGATGACACATTTCCCCATGAGATGGCAGGGAATAAGGTCCTCAGCAAGGTACACATCAACAGTGCACTCTCAAAGGTGTCATTTTTTAGATAAGACATAGAACTGAGGCCTTCACGATTTGTGTTAATTAAAGATTTCATGGTACTTTCCTGCAAGCAGATGGTGTTAGTATCAGTGGCCAAAGTCCAACTTGAATAATTACTTGGGGCTGGAGCCAAAGCCTAGAGGTGTTAAAGCAAAGCCTCTCATTGATTTCAGGGGGCTTTAGATTAGATCCATTCTTCCTGGCCTGAATTTCTCTAATACTGTCATTTCAACTGCAGACATCAGTCTCTCTTGTCTAAAAAATGTATTTAGTTGTGCAGAGCAGCGTGTTCATTTCCTTGAGTCTTAAAGGACTTATATTTTAATATCTGTATGTAGAGAGATTAGCTTACCTCTATTTAACCATTCTACACACATTGAAAACCACTTGGAAATAACTACTTAAGAGTCAATCAAGGAAATTTGAATTTGGTTCCTTTTTAACTGAAAGTTAGACAAAAAAATCATATATCCTGAAGTTCATATTATTTAAATTTTAAACAAGGTAAGATTTTAATTTCAGAATAATTAGAATTAGATTTGAAAATAATTTTCTAAGGCGATGGTTCTCTAGGAAGCATACTTAGAAATAAATATTTTTCCTCATTCTTAAAGAGTAGAAAAAACACAATAAAACTCCTGCTGATGTAAGAGATGAAAGACACATAGATGCCACCGATATGCCCAGTTCTTTCTGTCCTTCCTCTCAGTATCAGACAGCTGAAATACCTGAGATCACAGACAGCATATGTGTTAATTTCCTATAGACTAAGCAACCCAATACCCTTCTTTTGCAGCAGTGGGTTTTATTCAGTGAACCACTGTAGCCAGGAGAAGATGGCTTTCCTTGGGTGCCTCTCATCCCTCTCTCAGGAGTTGGCGCTTCCACTGGAAGGAAAGCTCAGCTCTTTGTGAAGGAGCTGAACTATTACAGATTGCAGCACAGTACATTAAGCATGACCAGCACAAAGTTCAGTTTTTCTTAATACATCAGACTGTAATTTGCAAGAACAGCCCAAAGTTATCAGAAAATTAATACTCAGGAATGTTACTGGTAATATTCTTTTAGGGTAAAATATGTTTTTTCTATGGCTTGCTGTTGTTTTTTTAACTTAATATTCCATACAATTTCCAAACCACTTCTACCTACTATAGCTCCAGACTGTTTTTTCTATAACATTACATAGACCTTGAATCCTTTATACATCAAGTGAAGTTCCTGTATGATACATTGGCTCACATATGGTAGATGTGTAAATAAATTTAAAAAAAAGTAACAAGGCTCAAATAAAGTAGTTCTAAAACAAAATACGTAGCCATTACATTTCTTTGTTCAGCTTCAAGATCTTAATTGACTTTACACAGATTTCTAATGTTAGTTTAGCTATTTTCAAATACAATACTTACGCCAAAATTTTATGCACCTGAAGAAAAAGATAAGTCTATGTCAAGCAAAATACTATTATCATTTTTTTAAACCTCAATGCTTAGCCAAAATCTGGAGCCCTGGAGGGTTTTACTCATTGCCTTTCCTGCATGAATAAACTGGTGATGAAGTCATGCTGCTTTGAAGCAATGATGCCCATGTGGAAAATCCTGCTTTCCTGAACAGAAGGAGAATTAACAAGAGAAATAAGTTCTTCTTTCATTGCACTTCTGAAAGTCTTTTGGTTATTTTTTAGCCCAATAATGTTCTCCTTGGGCTATGCTACCTGTTGTTTCCCTACTTGATGAATTATTTCTTTCAGTTATCAGTCTTTCGTCGGTTTCTTTTCCTCGATGCCCTGAATGATGATCTGAGTCCACGCAATGCAGTAGGTACTGCCCATAACTGCCCAGAGCTCTGTCAGATGGCTGCTCCCATGTAGAGGCAACAGCCCTGCCAGTGCAACTGTTCTGTGGCCCATTGGAGGAACAGGAACGCAAATCAATGAGGTTTCTGCTAACCCAGAGGCTGTGAACTGCCAGGGCTGAGCAGCTGTTCTGCTGCTCCTCCTAACAGGGTATTAACCTTCAGTAGAAAGCTGGGGTCAGCACCTGAGGTTGTAGTCTCTTCAGTTTTCTTAGAAAGGGTTACTGGAGCTTGCACACGAGAGAGCTCAGACATGTAGGGCCTTTTCCCAAAACAATAGCCAAGGAAATCCCTTAACTGATTGCTAGTTGTGTGTGCCTCTGTGTAGGGTGAGACTATTTTTCTGCTATCAGTCATGAAAATAAGTCAATAGTAAATGAGTTTACTTGTTCCTAACAGCTACCACAAATGAAGGATGTCTGCTTTTCTGCCCGGGTTTAAAGAAATACAAACTGACTACTAAGAATAAATAGCTTCTGAAATATTTAGTAATCTGAAGTTCTCCTCTAGGAATACAAAATTTAAAACTTACAATATTTATCTTTTTTCCTAGCTGTATGAAAACTATCTAATCTTATCTCTACTAGAAAAAAAAATATACTTGATTTTTTAAATTGAGATTTCTGATTGTTTTGGGGAAAATGAAGTGGTTATCTCATTGCTTTTCAAGTCTCTGTCAGATATTTGGTGAATGAATAGTGCAGTTTGTCTGTAAACAATAAAGAATGTTAAACTGCAGTTCA